CGCGAAATAATTTCTTCATCTCGTTTTTTTTTTTCTTTTTTTTTTTTTTTCTTTTTCATCTTCTTTTTCATCTTCTTCTTCATCTTCTTCTTCTTCTTCTTCTTCTTCTTCTTCTTTGTTCCTTTCTTTCTTTCGTTCTTTCTTTCTTTCTTAACTTTCTTTCTTTCTTTCTTTCTTTCTTTCTTTCTTTCTTTCTTTTTCTCTTCCTTCCTTTTTTGCTTCCTTTCTTCCTTCCTTTTGTTCTTTGTTTCTCTCTTTCTCTCTTTCCTTTCTTTTTTTTTTTTTATTTTCTTCTTCTTCTTTCTTTCTTTGTTTTTTTTCTTACTTCCTTTTCTTTTGTTTTGTTATTTCTTACAAGTGGAAAACAGAGAATCAGAGAGAGAGAGAGAGAGAGAGAGAGAGAGAGAGAGAGAGAGAGAGAGAAAGAAAGTTCACTACTGCGGGCCACGAACCCATTGAACGAGGTACATAAGTGTGATTTTGGCCCGCAGTAGCGAACTCCATACATTTTGGTTTTGTCGGACGGTTCTTTCTTTCTTTGTTTGTGGCGTCTCTCTCTCTCTCTCTCTCTCTCTCTCCATTCTTTCTTTCCTGCGTCTCTATCTCTCTCACTCCCTCATTCCGACGGATGCGTTTGGAAAGAATGGTCTGCTTTGTATTTGTTAAGTTGTGTTGTCCATTGTTATATCGAGTCATGTACGGGGGAAACGCAGATGTACAGTAATAAATAATAATGTATGTTGCCACGTACAGATAGCCAATCTTTGGTAGGCGCCCGCTGACAACAACTATGGAAGTAGTGAGGGTCTGTCTCTGCCTCTGCCTCTCTCTCTCTCTCTCTCTCTCTCTCTCTCTCTCTCTCTCTCTCTCTTTCTCTCTCTCTCTCTCTCTCTCTGTCTTTCTCTCTCTCTCTACCTATCTATCTCTATCTCTCTGTATTTCTATGTATGTACATATATTTCCAGATGTCAAGATTGGTCAAAACCGGACAGAAGAGAAAGGCAGGCGAAGAGTGTGATACAACGGCGGATCACTTTCTACTACTGGGGGCCAAAGAAGAGAAGACGACTGAGATGGACCGGAACTGGGGTGAGATAGTAGCGAAGCAGCGAGAACATATAGACAGGCTAACAGACGAGGTAGATAAGCAGAAACAATTGGCGAGACAGATGTCAGACGAACTAGGCCGTACTATTAAGTCACTGCTCGTAGAAATGACAGAAACTGCGGAACACAGGATGTTCACTGTGTTCTGATCGTTGCTAGACGATCCAAAGTGTTTAGACATAACTCGTCTGATGGAGGACATGACTGTCAGACTGAAGGCAATAGCTGAAACGAAGACCACCACGTTTGACGAGTTCCAGACATGGTTGGATGGTGAAAGACGCGGGCGCACCGCGGTCTTGAATCGGTTTGCCGCCCACGTCACAAAGAGAACTCACAGAGAATCACAAGGACTTGATGTCGCATCTTGTGGCAGCCCTAAGAAGTGTGTGCTGAAGGAGGGGTGGACATCGTATGATATCCAAGAATATAATACGGGTTCGCTAACTGCTTCGTCACGCAGTGTCGTCAACCTCTTGGCCTTCGCAACAGACTGTATTCGCCACTGTAAGGAAACCGTAGACGAGTACTGTCTCTGTGATGAGGGTGTCGCAATTGGTAAGGATGACCTTCCTTGTTATATGACGTCTCTGTTGAACGGTTGCTCGGACGTCATTGATGCCCTGCAACACACACGAGGTAGGTTGTTGGATGGCGAAATGACGGTGACTTGTGCGAACGAAGTTGTCATGGGAAGTATAGAAGGTGAAAGGACGAAGGCAGATGAAGAAATCGACACAACAATGCAAACCTCCACAAGAATTGGGACCACTATCGGGGACTGCGCGCCTGCGCCGCATGCCCTGCTGGCGTGCACTGATGTTGGCACACTGAATTGTCACCACGTTCGTCACAACTTCCCATGTGTCGTCGCTAGCAAAGCACCTTGTGCTGATGCAAAATCTGTTGCGCTGCCTATGACGACGGACACATTTCAAAAGTTCGTTGCAAAAGCGAGTTCGCGACAAATGGCGAAGCTGGTTGCGGACTGTTTGTTCCATCTCATATCGTACATCAAAGAGATAATGGTACAGGTCGTAACGAACGCAGGCCAGCACGGAGGGAATAACGAATGTGAGCATTGCAGGAAAGGACTTCACATCAACGACCGCTTAAAAACTCTCTACACAAGGTGTAAAATCGTGGTTGTGCGGGTGGTCAGGGACACGTGATCTCTCTCTCTCTCACACACACACACACACTCACACACACATACACACACATACTATTATGTATGTTTATTGCTGCCTGTATTACAACTTCTTCGTCCACACTTTTCTGTCTATAATGTTCGCAGCCTTTTCCCGTATTGACATACTTGTGGTTCACTACTGCGTGTCATGTCACTGTCCACCGCTGCTGTTTGTTGTCGTTCTGGCCGGCAGTTGTGAACCGCCATCTGTCGCTGCGTCTTTCCCTGTCCAACAGCATACGGTTCATTACTGCGGGCCAAATTTCTGTCTTGCATGAGATGTTTGTTGAAGTTCTGGCCCGCAGTAGTGAACCTCTCGGTGGCGCCGCATCTTTGCGTTTCCAACTACTTGTGGTTCACTACTGCGTGCCATATCAGTGTCAACCGGTGCTGTTTGTTGTCGTTCTGGC